AAGCACTTTGCCAGGCTCGGTTCCAGATGAAGTCAGCCCCCTACAGCAGAACCAGCAGGGTGGCCTCTGTCTTGAAGCAGAAGTTCTCTCCAGTGTCCAGGAACAGAGATGCGACATCTCTCCCAGAGTGGTACCAATCGGCAGAGAGCGCTGAAGGAGGGCTGGGGTGGCAGTCCCAGGTTTTCTCACTCTCTCTGCCCACGACCTGTGCTCCCAGCAGAGCTTGTCTGAGGATGATAAATACCTCAGGAGCAGCCCAAAGCCTGGCAGAGATTGGGAGGTGGGGGGGGGGGGTGTTGGGAGAGTCCTGGTCTCTCAACTGTGCTCACCCAATGTAGGTTGTCTATGACATGGAGCTATACGGCTTTCCAGTTGTCTGCCCTGACAGGATGAAACCACAGCCCTGGACTGGCGTCTGGGGGAGAGGGAACCCCATCTTCCTGGTTGCGCTGTCCAGGGTACAGCTCCAGTGACAGGAAGCAGGGAGGTCATCAGTGGTCCCTGCTACAGGCTGACCCTGTCCCTACTGAGATCAGTGGGACTTTTTGTTGTTGTTTTGTTTTTCTTGGAAAAGTTTTTCCATTTACTCTACACCCTCAGGGCAATTTCCAGCGACTCTTAAGTGATGTTTTTGTGGTTTTGTGTAAATAGTTTTCAACAGTTACACAAATAGTTGCTTCAGAGGCAGAGGGTGTGGGGAGCTCTTTACAAAGCCCCTTTAGGCAAGACCGATGACATGCTGCAGAGCCCTGCGCTGCCTGCACTGAGCTGCTACAGAGGGAATGTGATACACCTTTGTGTTGGAATTTGGCATGGTTGTGTGTGTGTGTGTGTGTGTGTGTGTGTGTGTGTGTGTGCATGTTTGCAATAGTGCCTGAACTCAGACTAGCTAAAGGTGATTTTTTTTTAAATTTAAAAAAGGGTATTTTATTTTATATAGAGTGTTTTGTTTGCATGTATGTTTATGTACTAAGTGTATGCCTGGTGCCTGTGAAGGTCAGAAGAGGGCGAGGGTGTTGAATCCCTTTGATCTGGAGCTACAAATGGTTGTGAGTCACCATGTGGGTGCTGGGGCCCAAGCACAGAACCTCTGGAAGAGCAGCAAGTGCCCTTTATCCATCTCTCTAGCCCCCCTTTGTTAGTCAAGACAGGCTCTCGCTATGTTGGTCTGGCTGACCTTGAACTCATCCAGATCATACAGATCTGCTTGCCTCTGCCCCTGCCTCCTGGATCAAAGATGTGCATCACCATGCCTGTCTTATTATTGTTGTTGTTATTATTATTTATTATTATTATTATTGGAATGGGGCACTGAGGCTTAACATAGAGCCTTGAACACGTTTAGTAAGTGTTCTCCTGTGTTACCCTCAACCACAGCCAATTCTTCCATACATACCCATGGCCCTGTTTTCTATCAACGTTTTAATTATTTTCATACTTAGTACTTGGGCATCATGTGCTAAATCTGGTAGATACTGACCCCATTGATGAACTCTTGGATTAGTGGTTCTTTCCAAGCACCCCAACTCCACACATTAAGACAAAGCCAGGCTACCAGGTTGGCAGCTTCCTCTCCCCTTCCTCCCTTGTCTATGTCCATTTATCTTTTGTTGTTGTTGTTTGTCGAGACAGGGTTTCTCTGTGTATCTCGGGCTGTCCTGGAACTCACTCTGTAAATCAGGCGGTCTTGAACTCACAGAGATCTGCCAGCCTCTGCCTCCCCGAGTGCTAGGATTAAAGGCGTGTGCCACCACCACCCAGTTCCATTCATCTTTTTGTTAGTCATTTACTTATTCTACTAACTGCCAAGCTCTGCTTGTGTCAGACACTGAGCTTAGGACCTGGGAAGAGAGATGGCACCATCGTGGTGAGTAGAGAAAAGGTGGGGACCTGTAAGGGAGAACAACCCTCAGAGTCTTGACTGGAGGGAAAGAGCACCTCAGCATCCCCTGGTCTCCATCTCACCCTTACCCCAACCTCAGCATCCCCTGGTCTCCATCTCACCCTTACCCCAACCTCAGCATCCCCTGGTCTCCATCTCACCCTTACCCCAACCTCAGCATCACCTGATCTCTACTGCACCCCATTTCAACATTGTTCCTACCTCAAACCCTTCAGAATTGCCTGGTCTGTCTTTAACTCACCTGCCTCAGCATCACCATGGGAGACAGCCCATCCAGAGTGGCTCATTTCTGGATCAGTTCACCTAGAGAAGGAAAGGTCGTCCTTGGAAGTCAGTGTCTGCATCACTGTGGTGTTCTGTTCTCAGAACCTGGGTATCTGACTGAGCAAACGAAGTTGGGATGGCAGGGAACCCACACTCAGCACTCATTGCCTTCAGACCAGAATCCGTGAGACCACGCGGAAGGGGCGGGCAAGGGGGTGAGAGAAGCTGGTGTGCCTGCATTTCAGACAGGAGAGGAGTCATCTCTGAGATGCCTGGCTACTCTTGGGACTGAGCTGGTCCCCTGGCTCCCAGCACTTGACTCCCCCATTTCACACTAGGAGTCAGATATCCAGGGACCCCTCAGCTCTCAGGAGCTCCAGTCAAGGAAGTCAGAGACAGAGCCCATAGGAGGGCTATGGGTGCTACCCTGAGAGAGCACCACCAGGCAGAGATGATGGCAGAGGCTGGCTGGGGATGAGGGTGGGTGGGGCCATTCTCCTAGGACATGGTTCTTAGGACGTGGCTCACAGTTGCTCTGTTTCATTCTCCTGGCCTCTGCGCTCTGTCTTTTACCTTCTGTCCATGCCCACCTCACCCCGCCAGCTGTGTGGGTAGACACCAGGGCGCAGTGACACCAGGGGTCACATGAGAAGAGAACACAGCAGAGACAACATGCGGCTCCTGGGACGTGCTGAGGAGAGAACAGGGTTCTGGGACCATCGAGCTAGGTTGTCTCGGTGGGTTTGACTTTCCATCCTCAGACTTTCTCTGACCAAGCCCCACTGGCCTTTGCTGGAGGCCATGTGCAGCCTCTGCCCAAGGCTTTTCAATGGTTCAGGATGCCTAAAAAGATGGATTCCACAACTCTCCCCGAGTCACTGAGAATCCTGAGTGATTAGGCATCACGGCACGTGCTTGTGGTCCAGCTACTCAGGAGGCTGAGGCAGGAGCAGACATAACGTGAGTCCATAAGTTTGGGTAACATGGCTAGACATCATTTCATACGAAAAGATGCTGAGATGTACTTTGGGGGTGTGTGCCCTGTGGATCCACATCTTCAGCAGCTAGAGCCCTGCCTACCTCCGACCTGGGCTTCCACATGCTCATTATGTGGGCCTATTCTGCAGCAGGGTGCTTGACCCTAAGCAATGGCTAACAGGTCCTTGGCCACCTTGACCACCTGCTACCCTCACCCTGCATCTCTGACTCCCACGGGGACAGCAAATGGAGAGCCCTCGGGCATCCACCATACGTCAGCTTTGGGGATGCTGTCCTGTCCCAAGCGGTTTCTCCAGGATCTGTGAACTGCACACCACCGCCTCTGAGCCCTGAAGTTACAGGAAAGAGGAAGTGAATGGCTAGGCTTTTTACAGGATGGGAAAAGTCAGTGAGCAAGCCAGGCTTTGACAGGTGCTCTGTGCTTCACGGAACAAGGCGTCATTAGCCACACAGCAAGACTGACAGGAGTTGACATGGGTCTTTGTGTCAGCAGTGTCCTGGGAGCTTTGGCTGGAGCTGCATGTGAATGAACAGTGGCTTCTAAGTCACTGAAGGTGACAAGGAAGAGGCTGATGGCCGTGGTGTGCACGCACGTGGGAGACGAGCAGTCACTGGAGAGCAAGATTGTCCAGTGCTGTGACGGGAGGGCGGGGGCAGTAGTGCCACAGGAGGACGGGGGCAGTGCTGTCATGGGAGGATGGGGGCAGTGGTGCCATGGGAGGGCGGGGGCAGTGGTGCCACGGGAGGGCGGGGGGGGCAGGGGGGCCCCGGGGGGGGGGGGGGGCCCAGGGGGGCCAGGGGAGGACGGGGGCAGTGTGCCACGGGAGGGCGGGGCAGAGCAGAGACTCCAGGCATATGAACTGGCGGCTGAGTAGACTCGCTGTCCACCCATGGGCTAACCAGAAAAGTGGAGCAGGCGTGCTCACAGACATTTTTGCTCAGGGGCGCTGGACAGAACCCAGCAAAGACTCAGCAGAATAGGCACCTCTGCTCCCAATCCTTGTCCACCCAGAATCTGACCTTAGAAGATGCTTTAGTTTCATTTCTGTGGCTGTGATAAAAACAGCTTAGAGGGGGAACGGGTGAGGTCTCAATTCTAGATTACTGTCTGTTGTAGTAGGGAGGTAGGGTGGCAGGAACTCGAAACATCCAGTCAAAGAGAAATGATGTGTGAATGGTTGTGAGCCCTTCCTCTGGGTTAGTGGCCACAGCCATCTAAAGCTGCCACACGGCCCTGGTGCTGACTGCACCTGTCTTGGTCCTGAAGGTGACAAGTGTCCCCCAGTGAGTTTAGAATTGGGGTGATATCTCTCAAGCTCTTGTACACAGCTGCATTTGGAACTTGATCCAGCACATGATGTAGACACCACGTGAGGATGGTTACTAGGAAATGTGGTCCCCCGCCCTGCCAGGTTTTGGTGGGGTCTGGGAAGCACTTTTTGCAGCTATCGTTGCCCCACTAGGGTGACTGGGCTTCCTAGACCATTGGGGTAGGGGCTTTTCTACAACCCAGGCTCTGGAGTGCCAAGCCTGGGAACCAATCCTGGGAAGTCCCGGGTGCTGGTCACCCTGATCTTCACCACCTGCTGCCTGCTCAGGCTTGAACAGGGAGAGGCGCACAAGGACACTGACGTCACATTGCAATAAATGGCCCTGGGCTCTGAATCTCATTTTCTTTAAATCCACTTCCCTAAGAAATATTATAGCGTTCACCCTTCCATTTTATAAGACACGGTGAATGATGCCTTTCACTCTAAATCCGCTTTTCAGTCACTCTTAATATTCCTCTAAAAGAAAGAAAGAGAAACACTGTTGGCACCAAAACCTCACACACTTGGACCAAACCCAAAGGTGAACATTTATTTCAGCAAGATTCACTCAAGGTCTTGAAAGTCAAGTGTGAGAGGTGAAATCCACCTTGTCAGTGAGGACAATGCCCTTTTCTGCGCTTGGCAGCTGAAGATGATATGTCAGGTTGACATGTTCAGTGTCCGAGGAATGTGACCCTAAGGAGATCAAGGGGAGCGTACTGGCGGTAGGGCCTCCTGGCAAGGTAGACCCTGCCAAGATGGCTGACTACCTTGGGCTCTGGGAAGACTTCCATGTGCCCACACTTCACTACACTGTGGTTTTTCCCGACATAGTCCACAGGGACAGGGCCACAGGTCCGTCACCATCGTCGAGTCGGTACAGAGTGTTCTAGAAAAGCTCCTCTCCCAGGCACAGCTGCCATTGTCAGCTCCCTACAGTTCCAGCCCAGGAGGTGTCTGGATGTCATGCTAGTCACTCTCCTGTGAGAGGGATCCATCAACACCTTCAAATTCTGGCCCTTACCGTTGTCAGGGAGACAACACCATCTGTTCCTCTCAAAGGGGGATTTTCCAGAGCTTCATCAGCAGGGCTTTCTCCACTCCATGGATTTCCATTCTATCAAGGCCCTGGGGAAAAGGGGATGGGATCTAGCTTAGTAAGCGCTACTCAGCTAGTCATCCAATAAATGTTATTTCTACTTCAATAACTCCTTGGATCTTTTGTTTTGTTTTCTTTTTCTATGCAAGGTTTCTCTGTGCAGCTCTGGTTGTCCTGGAACTCTGCAGGCCAAGCTGACTTCCAACTCACAGAGATCCGCCTGCCTCTGCCTCCTTGAGTGCTGGGATTAAAGGCGTGCACCACCACTGCTGGCTGGATCATTTTAAAATTTGAGCTGATCCTTATTGTTGCATTTTAAAAATTGTTTATATTGGATACCATTCATTTGTCTAACTTTTTTCAGCTTTGGGCCATTGTACATGCTAGCCAAGTGCTGTACCTCTGAGCTACAATCCTAGTCTGATGGTTCGTGTTGTCAATATAATAAAATCTAAAATCCAAAAGATGCACCTCTAAGGCTGTCCCTGGGGACATATCTTGACCCTGTTAAGGCAGGAAGACCCACCCACTGGCACCATTCCCTAAGCAGGAAGTCCTGGCTGTATAAGCTGAGATGCACTGATTGTTCAGTTCCTGGTTGCAGTCACATGACCAGCTGCTTTAAGCTCCTGCTGCCTTGGCCTCCCCATGTGATGGATGACAGCCTGGAATTGAGCTACAATAAGCCTTTACTCGGTTAAGCTGCTTTCTTTGGTCAGAGAATTTTATCAACAGGAAGAAACTGAGACACAGTCTCTCTGGGTGCAGATGGGAGGACTGCACTTGGAGTAAGGGCAACGGCATCAGAGCTGCCAGGAGAGAAACGGATCCTGGAATGGTGAATGACCTGACAACATGGCGTCGTAAGAGGCCACGACTCGAGAGCTGAACTCTTGTGAAGTGTCCCTCTTCAGCCTTTCAGTGCTGGAGCACAGCACCCCCGCAACGTCGCGTCTTTGTTTGCTACAGTCCTACGCAATTCTGTCCACTCCCGTCTGGCTTCTCTCTGTCTCCTTGTGAGGCACTTCAGGGGTGGGCACAGCATGGTGAGAGGAAGCTGGGCTCCTGATAGTCCAGGAAAGCTGGACAAAGGCGGCCCTGAGTGCTGTGGTTCCAGGCTTTTCCTCTCTCATTGCTCTACCGTATGTGACTTTGCTTTTTACCCAGGTCAGCTCTGAGCCCGAGATGACTGTGGGAGTTTCTGTCATTACATATGTATTGTAGGTACTAGAAATTATAAAAGAAGAATACATCATTTCAAATACTTTGAAGATCTAAGACAGAGAGAGAGAGAAAAAGAGGGAGAGAGAGAGAAAGAGAGAGAGAGAGAGTGAGTTAGGTGTCCACTGAAGCCAGAGGTATCATAAGTCTCTAGAATTGGATTCCCAAGTGATTGTAAGGTACTAGGCATATGTGTTAGGAACCATCAATGCTCCCTGAGCCCTCTGTCATGCAGAAAGGTCCTGAAATCTCATCTCACCATCTCTGGAAGGATCCTGGAATCTCATCTCCCTGTCTCTGGAAGGTCCTGGAATCTGGTGCGGGAGAATTGTCTGTATTCTGTCAATCATGTTTTAAATAAACGCTGATTGGCCAGGCAGGAAGTATAGGCAGGTCAACCAGATAGGAAGTAGAGGTGGGGCAATGAGAACAGGAGAATTCTGGGAAGGAGGAAGCCCATTCCTCCCAGTCCTGCACAGAACACCAAAGAAACAGGATGTGACCTGCCCCCCTGATAAAGGTACCAAGTCATGTGGCTAACATAGATAAGAATAATGGGTTAATATAAGTGATAAGAGCTAATAAGAAGCCTGAGACAATGGGCCAATCAGTTTTATAACCTAATGTAGACTCTCTGTGTGATTTTCTCTGGGACTAAATGGCTGGGGGACTGGGTGGGACAGAAACCCCAATGAGCAGGCCCTCATGTTACAGAATCTAGTCTTGCTGTCTCTGGAAGGGTTGCTGCTCAGGCTCTGGATGAGGAGTCACAGGGCCAAGACTCAAAGCATATACCTAAGCACATGGCATTTAATTACAAGCTGGTTGGCACACTCCCTGCAGCAAAGTAACCTAGTGATCTTGTGACAGAACCTTGGTTAGACAGATGTTAGCTGTCTTAGTGTTTCTATTATTGTGAAGAGACACCATGACCACAGCAACTCTTATAAAGAAAATATTTAATTGCGTGGGTTCGCTTACAGTTTCAGAGGTTCAGTCCATGGTGGCATGGAGGCAGATGGGGTGTTGGAGAAATAGCTGAGAGTCCTACAACTTGCAGGCAACAAGAAGTCGACTAACACACTGGGTGGTATCCTGAGCATAGGAACCCTCAAAGCCTGCCCTACAATGACACACTTCCTCCAACAAGGCCATATTTCCTAGTAGTGCTGCTGCCTATGAGATTATGGGGACTGCTGTGGGACAATGGGCTTTTATCCTGTCACTTGAATTATTTTTAATAAAATGCTGATTGGCCAGGCAGGAAGTACAGGAGGGTCGATGGCAGCCAGGCAGGAAGTAGAGGCATGGCAATGAGAATTCTGGGAAGAGAAAAGATTCAGTCTGTTGGCGTCACCCAGACAGAGAAGAAGCCAGAGATAGAGCAAGCAAGATGTGACTGTCTCGCCGAAAAAGGTACCGAACCACGTGTTTAACACAGACAAGTATTATGGGCTAATATATGCTTTAAGAGTTAATAAGAAGTCTGAGCTAATAGGCCAATCAGTTTATAATTAATGTAGCCCTCTTGTGATTCTTTGGGGCTAAACAGCTACAGGATTGGGCAGGACAGAAACCTCAGTCAACAGGGGACAATTACATTCAAACTACCACATTCTACTCCCTGGCCCCAGAAGCTTGCAACAACACCATAATAGCAAAATTCATTTAGTTCAATTTCAAAAGTTCCCATGGTCTATCACAGTTTCAACAACATTTTAAAGTCCAAAGTTCAAAGTCTTTTCTGAGAGTCATGCAATCTCTTAACTGTAATCATTGGTAAAAATCAAAACCAAGAAGCAGATCACATACTACCAACATACAATGGCACAGAATATACATTCCAAAGTGCAGGGAAGGGAGCATAGCGAGGAAACACTGGACCAGAACATGACTGCAAACCAGCTGGGCACACTTCAAACTCTGCATCTCCAACTCCTTCCGGCTGTGTTGATAGCAGCACACTTATTTCTCTTGGGCTGGCTCCACTCCCTGTTAGCGGCTCTCTGGCAGGTATCCCACAGCTCTGGCATCTCCAGCATCTTGGGGCGTCCAAGGCAATCCAGGTTTCAACTTCACAGCTTCATGAGCTTCGTGCAATGGCCTCTCTGGGTCTCCATTCAGGGACACCCTGACACATGCCTGGCCTTAGCGTCTTTATTCCATAATTCCTTCCTTCTGTTCAGCCTAAAGCCAGAACCATGTGGCTGAAGCTGCCAAGTTCTGCTGTTTACTGGAGCTGGAACATGGGGGCTCTTGTTCAGTTACATCATCATCATCTTTCTGTCCTTCACTGCCTAGGCTTGGTTGTCTCAAAACGTGTTCTGTAGACCAGGCTGGCCCCAAACTCAGATCTGCCAGCCCCTGCCTTCCCAGTGCTGGGATTAAATGTGTACCCCCACCACACCTGGTTTTAAGCTTTTGTTCAGCTCCTTTTCACAGGTTAGAAGCTAAGCTGGGCGGGATCTCTCCCTGAGGTCTCCACTGCCTATATTCCATGCCTTAATCCATGTATCTCCTTGAATACAGAATTTAGCTCCATTCCACTTCTGGTTGCTCTTTTTCTGCTCAGAATTTCCATCTTGCACTTTATCGTGATCATTTTGCTCCTATCCATCACATTAGCGTTACCACTAATAACCACACCACAGAGTCTACACTAGGCTGTTTGGAAATTTCTTCTCCCAACAGAATTAATCTAAACTCTTCACTTTAGCCTCACGTAGACACTTTGGACAAAGGCCAAAGGCAGCCACTTTCTTCATCAAAATATCACAAGACCAGCCTCCAGGCCACATACTAACACATAGTAACATTCTTCTCCTCTGAAACCTCTTGATCCTCACAGTTCAAATCACCTTCAGAACCAGTCTTCCATGCTCCTACTAGCATGGCCCATTAAGCAGCACTTAAAGAATCCCACTGCTCTCCAAACCCAAAGTACCAAAGTCCAAATTCCTCCAAACAAAAACATGGTCAGGCCTGTCACAGCAATACCCCAGTCTCTGGTACCAACTTCTGTCTTAGGGTTTCTATTACTGTGAAGAGACACCATGATCATGGCAACTCTTACAAAGAAAACATTTAATTGGGACTTGCTTACAGTTTCAGAGATCCAGTCCATTGTCTCAGGACAGGGAGCATGGTGGCTTGCAGGCAGATGTGTCACTGGAGGAGCAGCTAAGAGTCCTACAATCTTGGAACAGGAAGTTGACTGACACTCTGGGTAGTATCCTGAGCACAGGAACCCTCAGAGTCTGTCCCACAGTGACACCCTTCTCCAACAAGGCCATACCCACTCCAACAAATCGTGCTGCTCCCTATGAGATTATGGGGTCAATAAACATTCAAACTGCCTCACTAGCAGTTGGAGGGTTTAAAGAATTTTAAGTGCTGTCAAATTGAAGTGGTGTTGATAGCATCCTTGGTTATACAGAGCTATAGTCAGCTGGTGTATGTAAGGGCTACTTTCTTCCCTTTTGTGATGACCCAAAGCTGTACTGGATCACAAAGAAACAAGACTTGGAGTTAGGCTGACAGTCTGCTGGGAGTCTCTCAGAGAGTACCGGGTTCTAACCTCATCAGCTATATGACCGGGATAAGGCACAAGGTGGGTGAACACAGTGGAGTGACAGCCAGTAGGCCCCTTTATGGATGGCTATGGAGGGGTCACTCCACTCTGGGTACTTCAGTGAGCTGCTGTCCTGAGCACTTGGCGCTCAGCAGGGTATGAAGCAGACAGGATGAGAGGGTTGTGTAGTGTACCCCACAGAGGTGGGAGAATGCCAGGAACCCCACTTCAGCTGATTATTCCCTTAGAGCAAGAAGTGGGGCTCAGGAGGGCCACATGAAGCAAATGCCACTGTCAGGGCCATGGACAGCACCACATCTGGTGGCACTGACCCCAGTTCCAAGGCACACTGACGCAGTTCCCAAAAAGTGCTGCTGTGATTACATGCCTTGACTCACTCTTCCATACAATCCTGAACATGAACCTTCTACACACAGACTATACATGGGCAAAGACATGTAAAGACAGCAGGCTCCCCAGATACAATCAGAGGTTCTAAGAGCAAATGTCATCCAAGTCCAAAGCATTTCACAGAGAAACTTAAAATTATAATCAAAGTAAGGGGAAATAGAAACAAATTTGGTTTTTACAAAATCTGGTCAATCAAAATAGCAGAACCATAAAGCATGGGCAGCTACGTTTGGCTCTAGAAAGCAGCCTATCAGAGGCCAGTCCTGAGCAGCCACCAGGTTGGTAGCTTGGTGATGGCAGACAGAAGAGGGCAGAGGCCACCGCCTCTGGGAGAACCTCAAGGTTTGGGGCTCAAATTCATGTAGGCGAATGATGCTATGTGAGTCAGTGTGTTCTGATAATGCATCCAGGCAGGAGAACAAGTAGCTTGGCTTCATCACAGATGTGGGATGCTGGCTCCAGGAGAAGATTGCCTTTGTGTAGGCAGAACCTGTCCCCAGGCTACCTTCACTTGGGGCACCTCCACTGGCTCCCACAACTCCTTTCAAGGCTATGGTGGGAAGCCTGGGTACTGAGGTGGGAGGAGCAGTGGAACAGGAAGGCCAGGGAAGGGAACAGTAGTGTGCTTCCTCTCCCTTACAGGGAGCAGGGAGAATTTCCTCTTAACTGGGCCAATATCCTGGAGGCCAAGGTGAAGGGTGAGTGTGTCTCTAGGGCATGTCTAGCTACAGAGAGAAGTCTGGGGTGTACTTATTTGTGGATAGGACCAGGTTTGGGGCAGTTAGTGGTTCGGGGGAACAATGAGTTTAAAAAGAAAAGGACCGGTGAACCAGTATGTTCTGCAGGGGGTCACGGAGCCAACACAGCTGCCCAAACCTGTCGTCATCAGTCCCAAGGGTGTGAACAGTAGCACAGGGAGAACAGGAAGCTGAGCGTGGACTTGGTCAGGCCATGCCAGGAAGAGCCACTCTGCACCAGGGTCAGAGCGCACGCCAGGAAC